TGCATCAAAATGTGACTCTCAGAGGTGAGTTAACAGTACACACAATGTCGCTGGGACATTTTTCTAGCTCACCTGCACATCCCAAACTCCCAAGCTGCACAGACATTGTTACTGCAATTAAGTTACAAATGAAATAGCAAAGCATCTATACTTTAGAAGCACATTTTCTTATATGCAACTTGCTGGATATGTAGTTTGTACCAAGATGCCATTTTTAACCATTTAAGCTCCACTGTGTGACAGACTGTAGGCTAACTGACATCTTGCTAACTGCTTGGCAGCCCTGCAAAAGCTGATTGTTCGGTGTTTGACTGTGTTACAGCTGGATAACAGCGGGACACTGCTGGCGTCAAGGACACACACAAACACACCCACAGAAATCACACATGCATCCAATTGTCGTAGGTTTAAGGGAAACATCAGCCTGCTCAGCAAATATCTTCAGCATGTATGTTCGGCACAGGCGCCTATGAAGTACACACAGACTCACTAAGCTGGGGGCAAGGAGACTCTGTACATTGTCTGATAAAGAAGGCTTTCAAAACTGTTTAGCTTTCATGTTTTCAGAGTGATGTGTAATCGTTTTACCTTCTGGACAGCAGAAGAGTGTTTAGTTGGACAGTGCCACTTAGTTTCACAGCACAGATAATTTGATTGTGTTCTTCTGTTACACTGTCAGCACTCTAATAGCCAACATTTAGAAATTCAATATTTTAATAAGCTTCAAGTGTTTATTTTGCTGCTAACAAACAACAACGGTGTAATTAAAAGCAGTGACTGACTGATTTCAATGAAATCTGATAAAACTTTGTAGGAGTGTAGAGCGGAGTCATGTTAACAATCCACCAAACCCTTCAAGGTCAACTCAGTGACTTACTGGTTGAAAATGGACAAACATGCCTTACGCCATAGAAGCCATGACTCTTACAATGTGCATGTATTGTCAACATATAGAAGGGACTGTGTAAAGATTTAAAATATCATGTCACATTTGACCTCTGACCTGTCCTTCAAGGTCTATAGATTGATCTGAAGGTCTAAGTCATAATAATACTATATCGAGCTATTTTTACATCTGTGTTTCTTACCACCATTGTTTTTATTGACAGCATGTAGGCAACATACAGGGAATAATATATGGGAATTCTTAATTACTGTCACATTACTGTGGACCCTAACTTTCATAAAATGTATTTTATCATGAAAAAAGTTTAAATGTTATTGTTGTTGTTTGGGAAATTTGACCTTTAACCCCACTCTTATATTTTTAAAGCTGCTTTTCTTTCAAGTTGACCCCAAAATGCGTTACGGCTTCAAAGAATGTCAAGAGAAAGAGAATGGGTGGCCTAGTTAGTTAGAAATGTAGTCTAGTGTAATATTAAATGTATTAATTTTATTTACAAATCAATAACTATTATCCATTTTCTGCGCCTACATAACAAAAGTTTTCCACTTGTTTTTATTGTATTACATACTTCTTAGAGTACATTTAAAAACACAGGAATGTTATTGAAAATCACCTTTTTCAGAAGTATAGGAGGCTAAGTTGGGCACTGTCAGCTGCCAGTAATGTTGTGTAATGACTCCTTAATGCAGCCTCACATGGTCAATGTCTGTTATGAACTTGAAGAAGAGCCATAGTTAGTTTTTCTAGCCCCATTTTTTAAGACATTAGAATGTTAATCTGTTGTGAACGTCTCTAAAACATGGAATTATAAATATGTAAAATCTGTAAAATAAACACATTGTTTGCTTATTTTTCCCCTAAAATCTCCTAAATTGATCTCAGGATTCCTGGTTGGAAGCTTGCAGTCTACTGTTGAAGGAGTTGCATGTAAAGATTGTCACACTGTAACAGCATGAGGAGTCTGTGTGTTTAGTAGTACAGCATTTGTATCTCTCCTTACACGTGTTTAAATGTGGATCAAATCATTTAATGTTTGAGAGTGAATGACTGGATTTTATCCAAGTAATTAATAAGTAAGTAATTCAAAAGAGAATATGTTCAAATTGGTTATACTGCATTTATTTGAAGTAGAATTGTGTTTATGGTTTGCATCAACACCAGGAAGCGATTTGGGGTCACATCTGACAAACATCTATCACGTTTGAATGAGTTAGGATGATAAAAATCACAAACAACCTCCTCCTCAAATCACTGGCAAGGCCTTCGTGGGCGCTGTCAATGCAGCTGATGAAATTAGATAACACAAGTGTAATTTTATAATGAAAAACAAAAACGCTGATGTGCCTTTGATGCAGCAATTAGAGGGGGAGATCCTAATGATGATAATTTGAATTTTAATTCTGAACCCACTAGTGACTGGCAGAGTCTATCAATTACTGCATAAAACAGGCCCCAGCTGCAGCAGCCACGGCAGCCGCCTCCCAAATTGTCGTCTAAACTGCTGTCGTCTCTTCTCCCATCGCTCGCCGGCGTAATTGCAGTTTAACCAGTTCATCATAATCACACAACAGTTTCCCTTCCCAGTAGAACAGGGATGTGATTTTCACATCCAGAGTGTGTGCTGAGGACTGTGTTTGTGTGTGCAGATGTCTGTTTCTATATGGAGGGTTTGTTTTCAAGAGATAAAACAGGCCCACACCTACCCCCACAACCCCTCAGAAAGAGGTTTGGGTCTTAACTCCCCCTGGCCACCATGGTCAGCTGAGTTTTCTTTACTAATACATAAAACACATTATTGTTAGCAAGAAATAGCAATAAAAGTCATAGACTTTTGTTAACCCTCATCATAGGTGATAGCTCTAACTCCTTACTCCTCAAATAAATTGACATTTATTTGGAATTCAAAGAGTCATCATTGTAATGGCTGAGCTATTTGCTACTATCATGCTACAGGTGTCTTCCATTCTGTTGTCAAATGAAGATACATGTGCATACAGAAGAGTTTACCTTTTTAATTTCCTAAAAAAAGAAATGGACTGACTGCCAAAGCTTACAGGCTAATTATAAAAAATACGTTTTATTTGTTTCAACTTGAGAGAGAAATCCTTTTTCTGGTGCTGTTACAAATACTTTCACTGTAGTTTGACCTTAATGTAAGATAAATTACAGAAATCAGACAAATCAAAGATGTTTGTGTATCAACAAAAATGTTACATTTAATCTCTGTGTGTAGATGAAGCAGGCAGAGAGATTTTCTTCTCTCATTTGGCCCCCTGCCGTCTAAATCTCCCCTTTCCAAAAGAGAAAAAGCAAATTTCAAGGTAGAACAACTCAGTTTTGTTTTTGTGCATCTTAGCCAAATGCCACTTGATGCCAGCATGATCAGCATTTCCACCGCCAGCTGCAGACAGGAAGACAAGCACAGCAAGCATGTTACACTGAATATAAACTAAGAGCATGCTTTCTTCACTTACTGACAGCTCATAGTGTTGGTGATCTATTAGATGTACCACATTGTTACTTTATGTGCCGTAAATGGCTGTGGATAGGGGCGTCGGCTGAGTTCCCACAGTCTCAAAGGGGTTCTTTTCAGCTGAGAGAGTAAATATAACAATCGATTGTGGTCACTGTGAACATTGTAGTAGCTATTCATTGAAAAATGTATCATTTATGTGTGTAAGACTCACAGAGCCAATTGAAATAATCAAAAGATCTCAGCAAGTTGTTCAGCAGCGCTTTAATCACCTTGGGTGACAGGAAGTAGAGGAGGTCATCTACTAATCCGAAGGTTGGTGGTTCCAGTCTGCCTGCCAAATATTCTTGGGAAAGATACTAACCCTAAGTATCGATGTGTGTGAATGTTAGATAAAAAGCACTGTCAAGTTGTATAGAGCACTTTGAGTGTGATTTCCTGAGGTCAAATGGTCCAGGATGTAAGTGGGCGTTAAGGCGTCTGGGGAGGGATCTCAAAACTGGATTATAGATGGCAGACAGGTGGTGTCGTAAACCACCGCCTCTGTTCAAAGATGGTCGTTCACAGTGGACATAGATGGCTTCTTTCACTCCTCTTTCAATCCTTGACTGATTGTGACCCACACCTGTTTTCACACTTGGCTCGTGTGATTAGACAGAGGATCAATAGGGGGTCCATGACCCTCTTGGGGACACTCCCATAGGGCTTAAAATCTGGGACTCTACACCAATCGCTCTTAGAACTGAAGAAGCTTCTTGGATAGGAGGTGAAACATCTTCAAGAAACCCAAAGAAGTCCAGACGCTTTTCTTTCCAAGCTCCTTAGACTACGATGACCTGGATGACTGAGAACCTTCACAAACAGTCCATTTTACATTCTTCCAGAGCAGAAAACTATGTAAGCTGTGCGAGATGTGGAAAATTCTGAGTTTATCTTTGCACCAAAAGGAAAGATGTATGGTTGCAGCGTGTGGACGGAGTCCAGATTTTAGTCAATTTTAAAAAGAGGTGTAGTAAACAAAGATTTTGTGATTTTCTTGCATTTTTTCTGGTATGTTTTGTTATACGTGTCATTTCCTGACAGACTTCTTTTTAAATTAATGTTTATGCAATTTGCTAATAATAAATTCTTAATGTTTCTAGCTGCTGCATAGATAAATTCTGTATCATTTTAATTTTGTCAGCATTCACAGTATTCGGTCTATCACTGTCATTACACATATCACACTGCTGCTCAGGCTTCTGTTTGGATAGAAGTAGCTGTATTCACAAATTGTTTTCCACTCACTCTCACTGTGCTGTGTTTTATGATCACTATTAAGCTGCTACCAAAGTAATTCAACACACAGAAGTTGCATATTTAAAGACTTCAGGCTGCGTGCTTGCTTTAATCACTCTCCATTTATTAGAAACCAGCCTTTATTTGTTCAGCTATGATTTAAAGCTTAACAACTAACTGAATACTCATTATATTTGAGAAATGATTAAAGACACAGAGTCTAGATGGAAATAGGGCGTTGGTGGACGGCTAGTTGTTTTCCTGCAATCATTTTCATTAGAAATACATAATCACACAATCCTAAATCATGCCACAAACATCTTTCATTATCTGTCTCTGCAGCAGACCAGTGACGCTCTCATGGTGATGCAGGTCCAAAAGTTTCCAGAAGAGCAGGCGAAGAAGGAAGTCAGAGGGCTGGATCAGCTGTCCTGTGATCTCCCGTGCGAGCCAAGCTGTCTGATTGGCTGGAGGGCTGGAGGGCCATCTTGCCTCCCTGGCAGGCAAGTGGCTCAAGCAGTTTGGTTGAGGAGGTGTGTGTGTGTGAGAGAGAGAGACGAGAGGAGGGGTAAGAATTTGGAAAAGCAGAGGGTGAAAATGTGTGGCTGTTGGGGTTTTATGACAGAGGACTGCGAAGATAAGGGATGGATGGCTGTTACATATGTGTGTATGCATTGTGGCATATGTGTCTTTGTACTGTATGAGCATATATGGGCAAGAAAAATCATGGAGGTTGTTAAAAATCTCAAAGTTTCTGAAACAAGGCCAAAATAAGGCCTAAAACATTACTCGCTCTGCTCGTCTCTTTATACTGTAGCTGTGCAAGTGTTTGTTTACATAAATATGGTTTTAATTATGATAAAACTAAGAAGTCAGATATTTAGCAAGGCTTTATCTTGGTTGCCACAGCTGATGGGGGGATAAATCTGGGCTCTGTTCAGGCATCTCTAAACAACAACCATTTATTTATAGACCCGTCTCTATGCAAAGAGCCCATTCTGATGTTGCTACAACATCAAAAGTATATTTGACAACCTGCTTCAGCTGCCTCTTTTTGTACTTTTTCATCCATCCAAGGAAATGATGCCTTGTACAATCAATTTATTAGCGAACAATCCACTTAGTCTTATTTTGAAAGTTCAGTTATGCGTACCGGTTAGCACTGGCCCTTCCTGTTTGTGTTTCTTTTCCATCAGGCTGACCAAGGTTTTGTTGAGCCTCACTATTGGTCAGAAGGACATTCTTCTCCTCTGTCAGCAGTAATGTGCCTTCTGCTCTGGTAACCGATGCCAGCTAAAGGGCCAGTAAAACCAGTACCTGCAGTTGGTGTTCCCCCAACTCTGTGGAGAGGCAGCTGAACGACGTTGAAGATCTTATATATTTGACAAAAAATATTTGGCAAATTAGATTATTATTATATGATGATGAATTATAGTATTAAGTAACTTCATCAGTGCACAGATATCCATTCATTTTTAAAGTCCTGTTTTGCAACCTTGAAGGCAGAAATAACAAGCAACGGGTAACAGGAAGCTGCACGCTCATCCGCTATGCAGCTGACTTTATTCCTTTATTTTTCTTAGAATGACCAAAGTAGACTTCATGTGTTATTCTGTAATGAGTGCATAAACTTGTCTGGAAAATGTTTATAGAGGTCAAAGCCAAGACTCATTTCCCATAGACCTCTATACACCTCTATAAGGCACATCAGCATGGGGTTCATCTTTTGTAGCTCTACGGTCACCTTTATACTGCCTGTGGATGGATGATATGGAGACCCTTATTGGCATAGATGTCAAACTAAAATGCTTCCTTCACTGAAACTAAAAATGTAATTTTATTTTCAGTGTAGCTCTTTTTTCCTGTATCTTTTAGTAGACTAAACTTAGATGTAGCCCTGTATAAAGTGCATGTACTCCTTCGCATATTTATATACATTTGTTGGGGAAAATAATCCAGTTTTAAATTTACCAGCAACACATTAACAAGTGTTTGTTTGCAGGGGGTGGTGTGTTTACGTGGACCGTATGCATGTGCAGCAGACACATTTCCAAACCTCAGATGGTGAAGCAGAGCCTGTGGATGGGTGGGTCAGAGAGTAGCAGCAGGCCAGTGTTGGCTCTGCTCTGGGCTGTAGCAGGGACACAGTGCAGGCTGAAATGTTAAACCAAGGTCCTTTGTGTTATTGCTGACATTATGTTTCATTCCCTAACTCCCCCCCGGCGTGCACTTTTGATGATCGCACAGCACATGCAGACACAGACATGAGTGGGCGTAGTGGACTATAGGACAGATAATGACCAGCACTTAGCTGCTAATGCCTAAAGAGCGGAGCTTTTGACCGTCCCACTTCAGCTGCCCAATAATTACATGATCACAGTGTTCCCTCTGGTTATTACAAAGTGGAGGTGAAATGTAGCTTTACTTTTTAAGAAATACTTTATTGTGGAAATGTAGCTCTCATAGCTGTAAATTAGATTAGATTAAAAAACTAAAAGTTCAGTTTTTACTGTAGGAAACAAGATTCCTTAGAGGAAAACATTCATCACCCTAAACGTAACTGTTTGAGCACTATTTGTTAGAGTTGTGAGAGAAATTCATTTCTGCAACTCCAGATTCTTGTTTAAGGATCTTTACTGTCCAGTTTCAGCTTTAAAACCTGTTAACTGATCCACTTATTTGTGATTTCTATTGAATATTGGACGCACAACAAAGATAAGTTTGTGCAAAGAGAAGTTATTTGTCTATGTGGACGGGAAAAACTCATTAGTATGTAGACTTTTAATCCAAAGAAACACACTCCTGCAGTCAAGTGGCTCATTTTTTACTTTATAATTAAGTTTGAATATTTGTGATACTTACAATTTGTTTAAATTAGCCACAGCTAATAACTTCTGTTACGTGTTACTCTTTATTTATTTTTGTGCATTACCAGTTAATAGAAGATCAAAATGAATCTGTGTAAACGGAGAAGAAGACTCTTCATGTAGGCGGGGTGGGTTTATCGGGGTTTCAGTGTGATTTAAAGTTTCAGTGAACAGATGATGAATATTTTAATATTCCTAATGCATTTCCAGCATGGTTTGTATATTACACTGTGTTTTCTAACAAAAACAGCAGTTTATATTTAGACGAACAGTCTTAACCTTTCACAATCTCCAGTGGTGGTGTTGTCAGTCCACATGTGTCTGTGTGTGTGTTTGTGCGGTGTGACATCATCCAGTGTGGGGCTTTGCTGTCGTGACACCCGTGGCCTTCTGGAGCCCAGACACCCCCTGTGGAGACCAGAGAGACATGTCACCTTGATCAGTGTGTCCCCGGGAGACTGCCACCACATACACACATCTCTCCTTTTCTCTTTATAAAATATACGTTCCTGTGGTTATGGAGGCTTCCTCCTGCTGCAGATGCCTCCATCCCATCATCTCGCCATCAACCTTTTATACATAAAGATGCTAATATGCACCCTAAACCCAGCTGACTACCTCTTCACTGACGTTTCCTCAGCTTTGTTTGTGTAAACTGATGCGGGTCATGTGATAGCAGGAAGAACTCAGCCTTCCTCCTGCTCCAATCAGAGATCACGTTAATGGATCCATTCTTTTCAAAGACTATTGTACAGTTATCGTTTTATAACCCTAATAACCGGCAAAGGACAGCAGTCCTGTGGATTATAATCCCTATGAGGACATTTGGTTCCTGCAGCAGTAAAAGTGAAAGGATTCAGGAGGCAATAACAAGAGACAGAAAGCCTGTAGAGAGAATAATGCTGGTAAGTTGGATGTTATTTACCGATACGAATGGATAGATATATGAAAAGGCAGCTTCTGGCTTTACATGATCAACATGACGTCACGCCTTTCGAATCAATTAGGCAACATAGACAGAGCTCCAGCCCTCCCACTGGGGAAATCTTTGTCTTTTCTTTCCAAGCGCAACTTCCAAGGACAGGTGTGGTGTCTCGTGAATTAAAAGGCGGAGCGTGGAGGATGGCGGTGGGGTGCAGTGCTCTCCAGAGCAGCCGGTTTCTCTCTTGTGACAGGTGATAAAGTTTGAAATGCCAACCCAGCGCACTCCGGGGCGCAGGTGTGGAGAATATGTCCAGGAATAGCCAAACCCTCTGTTCACAAGTCTCTTGACACCGCTGCGACAAATATCGCCCCTGCTGAACAACCGCCGGACTGCAGACAATGATACGTGTCACCTTGGGTTCTGTTTTTTCTGCTGTCTTTTTTGTGCACGTCTTGCCGCAGCACTTGTTTGGATGTTTGCATCAGGGCGGTGGTGATCTGTTCACCTTTAATTTCAAAAGAAAATCTCTTCTCCAGACATTATATGGATGGCTCTCCTTCAAAGAATATGGTTTAAGAGGTTGTAAACTCTTTATTTTCTGTTGAGCACCAACCAAAGATCTTAAACTCAGGCGGCCAAAAGTGGATGAAACCAATTAAACTATAATAATAACAGCTGGGATGGGCTCCAGCTGCCCCCACAACCCTGGATTAGAGAAGCAGTTAACATAACGGATGGATAGTTGTTAATTGTTGCAGTTTTAACTGAATTATCATTCGTCTTTTTTCTAGTTTTTGTCTAATATTATTATTATTAAACCTGGCAACATGAATTGGCATTTTTACTAGGAGTGTTTAGAATACAGGAAACTGTTGATTTGCTCTCAACTATGAGATTAATCACCATCCGTTTGGTGTCATTATTTAAATTTTAAATATGTCGCATTACAGTTCACAGCTCCTGAGGAAGTCTATTTGGTTCCAGTATGTAAATGTAGGTAAAGTAGCAGGTAAATGTCTTCATATTGTACATACAGTGGTCATTTTACAGGTCCGATCGATTATCGATCACTTATTAAGTCACTATTGAGATCACAATTATTAAACACGATTACTCAGAGACTATGAAAAAATATTAGATTTTTAAAAAATCTTAATTATAATTCAGTAGGCTGAATAAATAAATAAATGAATATATGTGAGCTGAACTAAACTGGCCCTGACAGAGAATGAGTTTGAACTTTCCTGGAGTGTTGACAGGCTAAATAAGAGCACGTTGCACAATAATCACATCTTGATTTTCTTATATCACTAATTCTGTAACGGCACAGCCCAACATGTTGAAGTGGTAACAGCCACTGAGTGGCTTATACCCGTTGATATCACCATCTTAAGGTATTGCCATCAGGTGGACACCTCCTCCACCCTACGGGCTCAGGAGATGCCTCACTGAAAGGAAGTTGTCTCGCCCTGCTGAAATAATATCCTCGCAATATTTTCTCTTTGAGAGACAGAATAGGTGGCACTGGCTAAATTTGGGATTTAACCTTGATTTGGATTTGATCGTTGGTCATGTTTAGGGAAAAATCTCCTTGGTTAGGGTCAGGGAAGGAGGATGGTTGGTTAGAATACACCCTTTTGCACAAAGCTCCCTTTTTCTAGGTTACCTTGAAGAAGAGATTTCATATCCAATACAAGGTCTCCTGCACAATCTGGGTTGTTTTCTGTTTATCACCTAGAGTACGAGTATAAGAGGGCTCCTCCACGCCACATCTATGGGAGTGATTACAACCGATAAGGGCCGCTTAATAGGATGAGAAAATTTGAGTGCTTGGGGCATTTCATAATATTAATATGCATACACACATATAATTACACTGATATCCAAAGGAGCACAGGCAGGTCATGATGGCTGTAATGGCACATCATAAATGGCTGGGCACAAAAACACGATTTTGTTTGAACACAAAATGCTTTTCTGAAGCATAATTTGGCACCTGCTGAACATCCATTTTGAATAAGCAGACTTCAGTTTTATTGTGCCTTCTTTTGATGTGGCTGCATATCAATAAATAGTTTATACTTGATGATGCAGCAATTTCTGTTTTATTTGGCTTGTTTCATTTCAATAGCTTCTCCCTTGTTTTAACTACAGCGTCCTCGCATCCATGCAGACAAAGGCCTTTTGAATGTTACACTGAAGACCCGCGTAAATACATCGCAGTGTGCAGTTACTTGTAATTTTGGACAGCTGTTGCTCTTATCGCAGCTCATTTTACCGTTAACTGCGATGTTTTACTATTCACACATTAGCCTCCTGACCGCAGTCTCTGTGTGGCGACAGGGGCTTCAAGATGTTTTCAAATCTCTGTTGCTAATGTCTTGCTGGGGGTGGCCATCTGTTTTTGCATCTCCCACCGAAGCTGTGCCGAGGACAGGCTCCTGGCTCCCGCCTTCACTCGGCTTCTGTTGGGGGTAATAATGTGTGCTGGTTCTGGGAGCCCAACTGGTGTCCATGAGTTTGTCCTTTACCGCCACTCATCCTTGTCCCAGTCACGCCACAGCGAGGGCAGAGAGCCATGCCGTGATGGAGTGGACTTCAGGGGGCTGCTTTTCATCGCTGAGAGAGGATTCTGGGCAGCCAAAGTGGAGTCACTCTCTCCACACTGCAGTATCTCTCCACAGCACCATGTTGTTAGAGCTGAGCAGCGAGTTCATTAAGCTTTACAGAATTAGCACCGCGACCGATGTGTCGTCAGTTACAGGTGTAAACGTGTCTGTATGAGCTAAGCATTTTATATCCAACTGGAGGAAGGTTGTCAGTTTATAAAAGGTTGCATTTAAAAGGTGTTTACAACCTTTTAATGTGGTCCAATTTTAAAGCAGATAGTCATAACGTGTAAAAATGTAGCCTAATGTCACAATTATGCTTGTTTTATGCTTTGGTGGGGGTAGTACAAAGGCAGTCCACCTGCAGAGAGTGTTCGTTGTCAGTGGAGGCAGTGTCAAAAACATGTGATACTACTCTTGTTTGTGCTGCTGTTGGTCCATCAGCCAGCTGTGGAGGAGAGCCAAGTTATTACATAGAAAGAGCTGACGTGAAGCTGAGAGTTTAAAAACAGTGAAAAGTCTCCATTGCAGTCAGTTTCTGTACTTTTTATGCAGTATTTTTAACATTTGACGACTTTTTCGTCCATCCGCGTCCAGTGACTTGCAGTTGCAGTTTGCACAGGAGCATGTTTGTGTTTTTGAATCCACGACACATTTGCAGAACCATAAATTACACTTTCTGTGTAATCTACAAGAATACGTTTCTTTATCGTCCACCTTAACACTATTTACCTTAACACTGTTAGTTATGGTGGACTGCTCAGTTAGCATGTTAAATGCTAATATAGAAAAAACAATAAAACAACATCTGGATTTATTTTCCTTCGATATAATGTCCTTGTAAATAGTTGCTGATCATGGAGAGCTACCTTGATAGACTTGTTGCAGATTCTCTGATGTCAGGCAATGGGATGCAAGTTGCTTGATCTTGTGTTTAGCTACTGTTTGTTTTATTCAAGTGAATATTTTTTCCCTTTTTGTCCAAAATTTTAAATGTCAAATCGCACATTCCATGGAAATAGCAGCTTTGTGGTGGATTTGTTTGTGTTATTAGTGAGATCCCATACAAACGTGTCACTTCTGGTCATGTAACCTGATTTATGCTAATGCTCCAACACATTGGGACTCTTGGACAAAGTCATTGCTCAAAACCCACCTTTTCAAATTGGCTTTGTTCTCTTGTTTTCACTTGATTTTATTGTACTGGGTTTTATGTTTGTATCAACCTGTTTGATACTTTAATAAATTAATACAGTCATTTTAAAAACTTTAGACAGTTAATGATACACAAACCGTTTACACAAATATTTCCCGTGTTATTGTGATTTTGCTGCCCAATCTTTATCGTCTCAGGCCTGTCGAAGGACAGGAAAGTGTCCAAAGTAGAGCAAAGTCAGGACTTGCTCTCAGGGCCTTGCTTCTACAGATG